CCCCAAAACCCCAAAACCCCAAAACCCCGCTAAGCAATGTATATATTAAATTAGCACATTTGATAATTATGCAATCAAAGTTAATAAGAAATAATTATAACATTAATAATATTTAAATAAATTCAAAATGTCTAATCCAAGTAAAGGACCTGAGATAAACGTGAATTTAAACGAAAATGTATCAGTAAAATTAAATATGGACAACGTAATCCAAGGGGCTAAAGACTAAATTGCAGATGCAATGGCTAAGAGTGGAAAATAGTTGCCTTCTATTCCAAAATTGAATTTAGAGGAAAGTGATGATGATTCTTTCGATAGAAATTATGAGGAGAGAAAGAAAGATTAGAGACCCTTGCTAGGAGGTAATAATAACACAGGAAATAATTAACCACCAGGGGAAATAGCTTTGGCTAATATTAAACCAAACAAAGAGTAGTCAGCTCCAAACCCTACTCTGAAAAAATAAAAGCCTGAAGATTAGTAACCTATAGTGCTAGCTCCATTGACTGATTAGCAAATTAAGAATATGAAAGATATCCCTGTAGGAGAACCACCAGGCTAACCACCCATGTATACACCATATTCACAACCAGGAGGAGTAAATAATGATTAATATAATGAAGATGATGACTTTTATGATGATGAGATTTACTAATAAATGACTATGAATCAGGCAAAATTCTATCAACTTGCTTATTATCAATGCTATTTTGATGTGAAGACTATGGATGTTTTGCTCAGATTAAGAAAAGCTATCTGGCCATTCTGTACTAAGAGTCAGCTTTTCGAAGATGAAGATAAAGTAGATCTCTATGGGCCTATTTGGATAATGATCACTCTCATTGTGGAGATAGCTATAGTAGGATTTATAGATTACTAAATTGATGTTGCTACACTGGCTATCGAACTGAAAGGAGGAAAAATTGCCTCCAATTTATTGACTGTTTACAGTTTACAAAAGGTTGCTAGAGCAGGTTTTGTATGCATCGCTTACTTCGTATTGAATCCTCTAATGCTACTTCTACTAATAAAGTATGTTCTTTGGGTTCCAGATATCTAATACCTTTGGCTGTTTGCAATCTATGGGTATTCATTTACTATTTTCATCATTACTACGGCATTAAATGTTGTGCCTATTGATTGGCTGAAGTGGGTCTTCTTGGGTACATCAGGACTAGTAAGTTTATTCTTTATCTTCTCAGAGATGTATGCACTAATCAAATATAAACTTGAGTAAGGATTCTGTAAATTCCTATTTGTTTGTCTCTTTTTAACTTGTTCGCATGTTATATTTATCATTGCTCTGAGGAAATACTTCTTGACATGAGTAAAGGATAGTATAGTACAATGCAGTGAATGGTTCATGAATAAATTGATTTTTCATTAGATTATGATTGTAAAAGATAAATAGTTTTAATAACTTAATTTATTATTCATATTATTCGGTAAAACATTTTAATTAACTTTATCTGCAATGAAAAATTAGTTTTTATATAGATATATAATTAAAATCTTAAATGTCTGAAGCAGAAAATACGGCACCATTAGCTAATGCCACAGTGCTGAGAAAGATCAACAAGGATGAATTAGAGAAGCATAATCAGGATGGTGATTGCTGGGTTGTAGTGAATGGGAATGTATTTGATTTAAGCGATTTTTATCGCAAACATCCAGGTGGGCCAGATACTATAATGGAATTTGCGGGAAAAGATGGCACAGAAAAATTCGAATCAGCTTAACATACTAAGGGTAATATTGCTGAGATGCAGTAGTATCTCGTTGGATAATATGATGCTCCAAGAGTTTTCAGAAAATTAGATGAAATCGCTGAGCATAATCTCCCAAATGATTTATGGTTACTTATAGACAACAAGGTATACGATGTTTCAAACTTTAAGCATCCAGGTAAGATTCATCAAGATTGAATATAATAAATTATTCTCGTTAGGTGGTAAAGAGATTTTACTACAGAATGCTGGAATGGATGCAACAGTTTAGTTCGAGGATATAAATCATTCTAAAAAGGCCACTGAGTTTATGAAGGATTTATTAATAGGAGAGTTTAAGATGGAAGGAGATGAAGAGTCGTGGGAGGACTATGTGAAAAGAAGATAAAGAGAAGATGCTTAACAGCTTTCAACATGGTAAAAGCTAGTCCTTGTGGGATTATTTGTAGTAGTCTTCTCTTATCTCTATGAATATCTTACAGGAAATGATAATAGTCCTCAAGTAGAAGTATATAAATATAAGGAGACTTGACTCTATTTTAAAATAAGCTGAAATTAGGGATAAAATAATCTTATTTAAACTTTTAAATTTCTTTCATATTTATATGCCTCAATGGTATAAGAAGCAATATTAATTAATTCTTGTTTTTATGGGTTTCCATATCTTTTTTAATTTGAGTTGACGGGGTTTTGGGGTTTTGGGGTTTTGGGGTTTTGGGGTTTTGGGG